TAAAACATCAGCACTTCTATATGTTACCAAGAAAGTCCAGCAGCAAGAGACAGAAAGAGAAATTCCATTTAAAAGAACTGTAGACAACGTAAAACACTTGGGAATCTACCTGCCAAGACAAACCAAGGAACTACATGAACACAACTGCAAAACACTTTTCACACAAATAAAGTCTGATCTGAACTGGAAAAATGTTAATTGCTCATAGGTAGGCCAACTCAATATAATAAAAATGGTAATTCTACCTAAAATAATCTACTTATTCAGTGCCAGACCAAACTACGAAAAATTTAGAGAACTAGAAAAAAATGACAAAAATTATCTGAAAGGAAAAAAGGTCAAGCATATAAAGGGAATTAATGAAAAAAATGTGAAGGAAGGTGGCCTAGACATACTAGATCTCAAACTGTATCATAAAGCAGTAATTATCAAAACAATCTGGTACTGGCTAAGTAACAGCCATGGAATGTACACAATACATTATAGTAAATGATCATAGTAATCCAGTGTTTGACAAACCCAAAGATTCAAGCTTTTGGGACAAAAACTCATTATCTGACAAAAACTGCTGGGAAAAAAATGAAAAACAGTACGACAGAAACTAGGTATAGACCAACACCTCACACTGTATACTAAGATAAAGTCAAAATGGGTACATGATTTGCACATAAAAGGTGATGGCATAAGCAAATTAGGAAGGCACAGAATAATTTACTTGTTGGATCTATGAGAAAGGGAAGAATTTATGACCAAACAAGATATAGAGAGCATTATAAAATGTAAAATGGATCGTTTTGATTATATAAAATTAAACAGGTGTTACATAAATAAAAATATAACCAAAATTAGAAGGAAAGCAAAAAACTGAGGGAAAAATTTTTTGCAGCAAATATCTCTGATAGAGACCTCATTTCTCAAAAATATAGAGAACTGAGTCAAATTTATAAGAATACAAGTCATTCCCCAAATGATACATGGTCAAAGGATATGAACAGGAAATGTTCAGATGGAAAAATCAAAGCTATTTATAGTCATGTGAAAAAATGCTTTAAATTACTGTTAGAGAAATGTAAATTAAAACCACTCTGAGGTACCACCTCATACCCATCAGATTGGCTAATATGACAATAAAAGGAAAATGATAAATGTTGGAGGGGATGTGGGGAAAATGGGTCACTAATGCACTGTTAGTGGAGTTGTGAACTATTCCAACCATTCTGGAGAGCAATTTGGAACTATGCCCAAAGGGCTATAAAACTCTGCATATCCTTTGATCCAGCAATACCATTGCTAGGTCTGTATCCCAAAGAGAACAAAGGAAAAGGAAAAGGACCTATATATACGAAAATATTTATAGCAGCTCTTTTGTGGTGGCAAGAATTGGAAATTGAGAGGATGCCCATCAACTGGGGAATGGCTAAACAAGTTGTGGTATATGATTGTGATAGATTATTACTGTGCTGTAAGAAATGAAAAGCAGAATGATTTCAGAAAAACCTGGAAAGACTTACATGAACTGATACAAACAGAAGTGAGCAGAACCAGAAGAACACTGTACACAGTAACAGCAATATCGTACAATGAAGAACTGTGAAGGACTTAACTATTCTCAGCAATATAATTATCCAAGACAATCCCAAAGGACTCATGAGGAAAAATGCTATCTGCCTCCAGAGAAAGAACTGATGTTGTCTGAATACTGACTGAAGCATACTACTTTTTACTTTCTTTCTTTCTTGTTTTATTCAAGTCTTCTTGCACAAAATGACTAATATGGAAATGTTTTACATGATTGCACACGTATAACCTATATCAGACTGCTTATCATCTAAGAAAGGAAGAGGAGACCGAGGGATAGAATTTGGAACTCAAAACTGCTAAAAATTGCTTTTGCATGGAATTGGGGGCAAACAAAATATTAAGTATTTAATTAAATAAATTTATTTAAATGAATAGATATTAAATATTGAAATTTATTATTAAAAATTTTAAACTTAATAGATCCACTGAATAGGAAAAAAATCAAATACGAGAGGTAGAAGAAAAATCAGGAAAAGAAATGATGCAAGAGAATCATGAAAAAAGAATCAGTGTGGTAAAGGAAGCACAAAAAAATGGAAAAATATGTACAAAAAATCACTGAAGAAAAGAGCTCCTTAAAAAGTAGAACTGTCTAAATGGAAAAGGAAATACAAAAGCTCACTGAAGAAAATAATTCTTTAAAAATTAGAACTGGGCAAGTGGAAGCTAATGACTCCAGGAGACAGTGAGAAACAATAAAACAAAATTTAAAAGAAGAAAAGAGTAGAAGAAAATATGAAATTTCTCATTGGAAAAACAAATGACCTGGAAAACAGATCCAGGAAAGATAATTTAAGAATTATTGAACAATCTAAAAGCCATGATAAAAAAAAAGAGTTTAAATATCATATTTCATGAAATTATCAAGGAAAACTTCTCTGATATCCTAGAACCAGAGGGCAAAACAGAAATTGAAAAAAATCCACCATTCACCATCTGAAAGAGATCCCCAAAAGAAAATTCCCAAGAATATCAGCCAAATTCCAGAGTTCCCAAGTCAAGGAGAAAATACTGCAAGCAGGCAGAAAAAAAACAATTCAAATATTATAGAGCCATATTATTAAAGCTTCCACATTAAAGGATCAGAGGGCTTGGAATGATGTTCTAGAAGGCAAAGGAGCTAGGATTACTACAATCAAGAATCATCTATCCAGCAAAACTGAGTATAATCCTTCAGGGGGAAATAGATATTTAATGAAATAGAGGACTTTCAAGCATTCCCGATGAAAAGTCCAAAGCTGAACAGATGATAATTAGATTTTCAAAAACAAGACTCAAGAGAAGCATAAAAAGGTAAACAGAAAAAACAAAACATAAGGGATTCAATAAGGTTAAAATGTTACATTTCTACACAGGAAGATGATACTTGTAACCCTAAGAACTTTATCATATTCTGGAGAACAATTTGGAACTATGCCTAAAGGGCTATAAAACTGTGTAGGCTTTGACCTGGCAATACCACTACTAGCTTTGTATCCCAAAGAGATCATAAAAAAGGGGAAAGACCCACAGGTGCAAAAGTATTTATAGCAGCCCTTTTTGTGGTAGGAATCAACTGGACATTGAGGGGATGCCCATCAAATGGGGAATGGCTGAACAAGGTGTGGTACATGATTGTGATGAAATACTACTGTGCTATAAGAAATGATGAGGAGCAGGATGGTTTCAGAAAAACCTCAAAGGACTGATATGAACTGATGCAAAGTGAAGTGAGCAGAACCAGAAGAACCACGGTCTACAGTAACAGCAATATTATATGATGATCAACTATGAATGACTTAGCTATTCTCAGCAATACAATGATCCAAAGGACTCATGATGAAGAATGCTATCCATCTCCAGAGAAAGAATTGACTGAATCTGAATGCATATCAAAGCATACCATTTTTTATTTTATTTTTCTTGTGTTGTTTTTTTTTGGGGGGGGGGGGTCTGTATTTTCTTTTACAATATGATTACTATGAAACAGGCTTTTCATGATTGCACATGTATAACTTGTATCAAATTGCTTACTGTCCCAGGAAAGGGGAAGGGAAGAAAGGGAAGGAGAATATTTGGAACTCAAAATTTTTAAAACACGTTAAAAACTGTTTTACATGCAATTGGGAAAAAACAAAACATAATTTAAAAATTAAAAAATATATATATATGTGCACAAAAATCTTTGTGTTCTATAAACAGAGATTTTGAAATGTACTTAAAAAGAGAACTTACCATCCCGTTCATAAGAGAATACTTTAATAAAAAGTTGTAAAAGTACAACATTAATAACAACGGGAAATAACCATGTTGGACACCTCAAAAGAATGTTATGTTTTGGTTACACAATACAGAAGACATCTCTTAAAGCTAGTCCCAGACCACAGGTGAGTAACTCTTTTTCTACTGAAGGCCACTAAATCCAAAGAAAAAAGCAAGTAGGAGTCACATCAATTCCATTCAGTAATTCTGTTTCATTCTGTTTTAACTTATTGTTCCACTTAGGTACTTCGGACTTTTCAACATATGCAACAAATAAGAAAACTTTCAGTTTTATGTCATGATCTCAGGGAGAATGAGGTAAAGGGAAACAAAAAAAGAGGGAGAAAAACAGATAATGGCAAAGAAAGAGAAAGTTATATAGTAAGAAGATGAAGAGAAAGGCAGAGAGATACATATATCTAGCAGAAAACAAGAGAAATACAAAGAAAACACACAGAAATCTCCTTCAACATAGAAGCACGCAGGAAAACAAAAGGGGAACACAAAGATTTTTACAAGGTCACATCTCCATCTTTTGGTATTTTGGAATATTGCAGGTAGCATTTTTAAGGCAAGTTACATGTTTCCAGCCAACGGCAAATGAGGACATCACCTTTTCCTTAGTAAGGGGTACCACAAAAAGAACAAATTAAGTCAAAAATCAAATTTTTCTCATTCCTGTTCTGTATAATTGTTAACACTAGATAACCGTCCCAAAAGATTACAGTACTGAGTTAGGCTAACTGAAATCATACTGTTATAATGAATTTAAATACAATTAAAGTTTTATTTTTAATAATAATGATCATAAAAATGACAAAGATAAAATCAATAACAAAGACATAAACAATAAAATGATAAAGTGTCTCTATCCAAGTAGGTAAAGCAAAAGTAGAAACTGTAGAAATGTGTAGGGAAACATCAAAATAAGTAATAGAGAAATACTAACATTTAGAAACAAAAAACATAGGAACATCAAAAAAATATATATCTTATCAAGTAGGTTATCCATTCTAAAGATGATACATTTATATATCATTAAGCCAACAAAATACTGTGCCTTGTAAATTAACTCCTCCTGCCACAGTGGATTAAAACTAAGTTAGGATGAGAAATAAACAGAGGAAATAAAGGAGCAGGTACTGTTAAGAACAAAGCAAAAATACAAGATATCTTACCGCAGTGCAGAGTAGACTCCCAAGGACAGAAATGAGTAATCAGGGTCATAGTACAGATATACAGATGACACACAGTATGGAAGGACATCTATGACACCCACAGCAATTATTTTCCCATCCAGCCAATACTGTTGATGAAAAGATCCATAACCACAGTCAGGTCCCTCAGGAGGATTCTCTGCCTAAGGAAAAGTATAGCATTATATGAATATAATTGCAAAGTTTTCTCTTTATATTAACATCATGAAGAGACAGAATGATTACATAATAATTGATCGATCATAGTTCTTTCTTTCACTCTGGTTGATGTGATTTCCCGTTTTTGCCCTTGACCTCTGATACCTATCCCATTCACATTCTATGGTCCAGGCTCATTACATTTTTCCCCCTCTATCAAGGGCCATTGCTGTAATTCCCCATATTTATAAAATATTTAACTCACATGTTTTTTGATTAAGTGCAGGACTTTTGTATGTTTATTTTTGTCAATTACTCAGTTAATACTTTTTAAAATTTTATCAATTACTAAGTTAATACTTTTTAAAATTATGAACACAGAACATTATTTTATATTGCAATTCTAATAAATATTAATTTATTATTAATAATTATTAATAATATTAATTAATATTAATATGAATAAATATTAAATTATAGTTCTTTGGTTCTCTGTGATGGTCAGAGGGCAGAGGAGAAAGAGAAGATAAGAAAGAAAAAATATACAAAGGGGAGACAGGGAAGGAAGAGACAGAAGAAAATAACACAAGTAAAGGGAGACTGGGGAGTTCAATAAGTTATGGGTCACATTAATAGATTCAGGAAAAGCTTTTGACAAAATACAACACCCATTCCTATTAAAAACACTAGAAAGCATAGGAATTGGTAGAGTCTTCCTTAAAATAAGCAATATCTATCTAAAACCAAGAGTAAGTAGTACCTGTAATAGGAATAAACTAAAAGCTTTCCCAATAACATTAAGGGTGAAGCAAGGCTGTCTGTTATCAGCACTATTATTCAATATCATATCAGAAATGCTAACTTTAGCAATAAGAAAAAGACATTGAAGGAATAAGAATGGGGAATGAGGAAAGAAAATTATCACTCTTTGCAAATGATATGATAATATATTTAAGAACCCTAGAGAATCAACTAAAAAAACTGAAACAATTAACAACTTCAGCAAAGTTTCAAGATATAAAATAAACCCATATAAATTATTAGCATTTCTATACATTACCAGCAAAACCCAGGAGGAAGAGGTAGAAAGAGAAATTCTATTTAAAATAAATGCACACAATTTTAAATACTTCAAAGTCTACCTGCCAAGAAAAACTCAGGGACTATATAAATACAATTACAAAATGCTTTTCACATAAATAAAGGAAGAAAAGAAAGGAAAAAGCAAGGGAGGTAGGGAAAAATAAGTTATGAGGTCAGAATCAGAATAGTAATATCTACAAATAACTGCTACATTACTTTAATGATGATATATACTCTTTTAAGTGCTTTTTATTATGATCTACTGAATTTTTAAGTGCCAATAAGCTTTTTCATAGTAACCACTGCTAGCAGATCTTCAGATGATCCTAAAACCTTTGGAGGCACTACCTAGAAAGTTATATCCATTCCAAAGGCTTCAGTTTTAGTAACTAAAATGATATTGACTCAAGGCTAGAGGTTTTCTAATTTTGCCCAATAGGTATCAGAAGCCACATTCACCTTTTAAACTGGTGTTTACAGTAGAGTTTAAATTTGAATGATCACATTCAAAATGAAAAGGAAAACACTTTTAAAATTTGTTACCAACTGATTTTTGTTATTATTTTTAAGGTTCATTGATTTATTTTTAGTTTTCAACATTCACTTCCACAAGATTTTGAGTTCCAAATTTTCTCCCCATCTCATCCTTTCCCCAACCCCAAGACAGCATACGTTCTGAATACCCTTTCCCCTAATCTGCCCTTCCTTCTATCTCCACCCCTTCTCTTATCTCATTTCACTTCTATTTTCCAGCAGGGCAAGATAAATTTCTATACCCCATTGCCTGTATACCTTATTTCCCAGTTGCATGTGAAAACAATTTTTTAACATTTATTTTTAAAACTTTGGGTTCCAGATTTTCTCCCTTCCTCCCTACCCACCCTCACTGAGAAGCCAAGCAATGTGATACAGATTATAGTTGTGTAGTCATGAAAAACACTTCCATAGTAGCCAAGCTGTGGAAAACTAACTCTATTTCCCTTCATCCTATCACCCCCCCCTTTTATTCTATTCCTTCTTTTGACTCTGTCCCTCGTCAGAAGTGTTTGCTTCTGATTAACCCCTTCTCCCAATCTTCCCTCCCCCTCTATCATCCCCACACTCTCTTATCCCCTTGCCCCCTATTTTCCTGTAGGGTAAGACAGCTTTCCATATCCAAGAGTGTGTATGTTATTCCCTCCTTAGGCCAAATCTGATGAGAATAAGATTCACTCATTCCCTCTCACCTTCCCCCACTTCCCCTCCACTGTAAAAGCCTCTTCTTGACTGTTTCATGTGAGATAATTTACCCCATTCTACCTCTCCTTTTTTCCTTCTCCCAGTATAATCCTCTCTCACTCCTTAATTTTATTCTCCAGATATCACCCCTTCATCTTCAACTCACCCTGTACCCTCTATCTATCAATCTATCTACACATACATAATTTTTTTCCCCTCCAACTACCCTAATACTGACAAAGGTCTCTTGAGTTACAAATAGCATCTTTCCATGCAGGAATGTAAAGAGTTCAACCTTAATAAGTCCCTTATGATTTCTCTTTCCTGTTTACCTCTTCATACTTCTCTTGAATCTTGTATTTGAAAGTCAAATTTTCTATTCAGCTCTGATCTTTTCATCAAGAATGCTTGAAATTCCTCTATTTCACTGAATATCCATTTTTTTCCCTGGAAGGATTATACTCAGTTTTGCTGGGTAGGTGACTCTTGGCTGTAATCCTATCTCCTTTGCCCTCTGGAATATCATATTCTAAGCCCTGCGGTCCCTTAATGTAGAACCTACCAACTGATTTTTGAAAGGCAAAAATAAGATGTAACCACTTTTAAAGTTTACTCTGTAACCTTAAATTACACTGTGGAATATACTGCCTTGCTGATTTTCCACTACCATCGCTCACACATTTCTCTCCTTGTGAGTTCAGTCCCATACACATTGTGAAGCCAATTTTATTTGACTCTGAGGGGTAGAAGAAAAAGACAAATACAAGAAAAATATAGGAAGCCTTCCCCCTCCCCCGCCCCAAAAGCATCTGGCTATGTACAATCCATTTTAACAGCTGGTGACTCAAGTTATTTCTCAGATCCTTGCATATCTATTCTGGATTCCTGAAACCTGCTTTAAATACTTCTTTCTTCGTAATAAGTGCTCTCTCTTAGAGATAGCTAGGTAGTACAGCAGATAGAGTACTGAGCCTAGAATCAGAAGACCTGACCTCAAATCTTGACTCAGACATTTACCAACTGTCTGACCCTGGGCAAATCATTTAAACTCTGTCTGTTTCTTTCTTGGCTTCCCCAACAGCTAAAATTCCACCTTCAAAATGAAGACTTTCCTAATTCTTCTTAATTTTAATGCCTTTCTTCTGTTGATCATTTCCAATTTGTTCTCTATATAGTTTATACATAGTTGTTTGCATGCTATCTATTCCAATACACTGTGAACACCCTGAGAGCAGTGAATAACTTTTACCTTTTTTTGTATCTGCAGCACCTAGCACAGTGCCTGGTATATACTTAATAAATATTTATTGACTGACTACTTCCTAGAGTTGTTTTGAAGATCAAATGAAATAATATTTGCCCTGTCCCTGGCACAGAGAAGAAGCTTATTGCCTTTGCTTTTTTTCTCAAACAATCTTGTATTTATTTGCTTACCTGTTAATATGTTGTATCCTGAGCAGAATGTATGCTCCATGAGGGCATGATTTGTTTCTCATTTATTTTATTAATATCTCTAGTACCAACTACAATGTCTTAGATGAAGAAGGTGCTTCATAAATACTTAACTGAAGCCAATTTCAAATCAGAGGCCTGACTTTTTGTCTGCTTGGATGTAAGGTACTTTATTATTTCTTGCTGTAGTTGAGTTCTCACTTGACCTGTTATGTGCTGGTCTTCTCTCCATGTAGCCTAATTCCTGGACCACCCTGGTTTTGTCATCACTAAAATTCCAGAATGTGATAAAATTCCTTTCCCTTCCCTATCCCTACCACCCCCTAATTAGAGACTATTGGAATATCAGTAACAGGATAGCAATTAAGGAGTTCTCTGTGCATAACACCTAATTAGAAAGGAGTCAGTAATATTTTAGGGCAAACCTCTCAGAAAATAGCCATCTGCTTCCAAATTAAGAGAGTGGAAGCTGTAAATAGATAAATTTAGGTTTGATGTGCAAAAAAATCTTTCTGGCACTTAGACCACCTAAAAGTGAAATTAACCGCTTCAGGAGGTACAGAGTTCATCAATGCAGGTTGTAAGCAGAGGCTGCATGACTACTTATCAAGTATTTTATAATAGGGTACCCATGCCCTAGCCAAATATATATTAATTCCTGTCAAAACCAGACACATCAGAAAGTAAAGAAGAACAGACAGAAGCATGGCTCAAAAGAGAAAGAATAGGGTGTTACAAAATTTCAACTATGCCGTATTTTAAATGGCTACAATTTTCTCAAGTGCTAATAAAATCTTAAGGAGACTACTATTGCTATAAAACCTGAATGCCTTTAACTATATAATAGGAAATAAACAAATGCGTTTACTCATAATAAATTTAACCAAAAAAACAGATATACTAAGACTTTCTGAGGTGAGAGTAAAGAAATTTCCAAACTAAAAATAATAATGCAGGAAAAGTAATCACTGAAATGACATGGAGACAGAGATAACCTGTCAGCTCACACTGTGCAAGGAGAGGGCATGCTAGAGGAAAAACCCCAAGAAGACAAGACCTGAAATTATTTTTAATAATTTTTAATTATTCAACAACTTCTACTTGGAATATGATGCCAAGATTCACTAATCTAGCATATATCTGAAAACTGATTTATTCAATAAATATTTCTTGAATGTCTCCCATGTGTTCATATAACACTTTTCTTTGTCAATGTATCTTAACTTCCCTGCCTGAGACATTTTCTCCCAAG